TTTTCGGTTTCGTGTTTAACACTAAATTATTCTTATATATATTTAAATTAGAATTAAATAATTCATGCTTATTTAGGTCGATGATTCTTGATGTATTATTCCATGAAGTCGCCGGACCACCACGGAACTGGTCGTTTCCGTGCCGGATTGCTCAACCTGGATGTCATTCATTTAGCCTGGTGCGGTCAATGTTCCACCACAAGCCTCACCTCCAGCACCACCTCGAGCTGCGGTCAACATAGTAAGCACCATGGATGTGGTTGATCTTGCACCATCAACGACCCCATGGGTGTAATATGTCGTTTGCGTTGCAGTTGTAGGTAAGATCAATTAAGCATTCTCTTTATTCTTTCCTAACGTGAATCCTTTTTTTTTTTGGGTGTCGCTATAGAGTTATTAAGTAAGTTCAGTTTTAATATTTTTTATTATTTCCTATACTCCCAATTGCAATATATATATATTTTATTTTAGAAAGACTTTTACGATCGGCCAATCAATCGACACCCTGATACACACATTTCGGATGTCGATATCATACCCATACCCACACCCACACCCACACCCACACCCTCGATTCGCCCTTGAGAGAAACATGAATGAAAGGAGAGATATAACAAGAAAGAAAATGAACAAAGAAAAAAGGGAAATAACAGAGAAGTAAAGGGTAAAAAAATACTACAAGACATTCTTTCTTCCCCGTTAAAATGTGGTATATTATATATATCAGTGTGAGACAATAGAAGAAGAACAGTGGTCTGTATACGACATATTTCATCTCTTCAAATTGGGAGGACTGATTTCATCTACTAAATCAATTGATTCATGCCTGTAAAAACAGATCGTACTCTTGAGCTTAATACGCCCATATTAAGTACAAACGTGAAATAGAAAATATTTTATTTTTAAAAATATTAAGAAAGTCATATCGATACTTGAAACTTATTCATCAGAGTGTCGATTGCTTGGTGCCGTTGATTTAGTTACCAGTCCATTCTAAATTAACAATACTAAAATAGTTTTTATTCTTCAAGTCAAACGATGGTAAGTAATCTCAAAACTCAACAGAAAAAGAGTTTTTTTAGACTAAAACATTGAAATTTTACCAGAGACTAATATTTAGAAGGGAATAGATCATTTAACATGAACTAAACTTCAAACAAAAAAACGTTTTCTTTTTCTATTTTCTTGAGTAAATAGAAAAATGTTCATTTTGATTTTTTTCACCTATGCATTTTCGGTTTCCTGTTTAACACTAAGTTATTCTTATATATATTTAAACTAGAATTAAATAATTCATGCTTATTTAGGTCGATGATTCTTGAAGTATTATCCCATGAAGTCTCCGGAGCACCACGGAATCGGCCGTTTCCGTGCCGTATTGGTCGACCTGGATATCATTCATTTAGCCTGATGTGGTTGATCTTGCACTATCAACCACTCCATGGGCCTACTATGTTGCTGCGTGTGTTGTTGTGGGTAAGATCAATTAAACATTATCTTTATTCTTTCCTAACATAAATCCTTCTTTTTTTAGGTGGTGCCATTGAACTAATCAGTAAGATACGATTTTAATCTTTTTCTTATTTATAGTTGAGCAACTTTAAAAAGAATTAGTTTGTTTTACTTTTTTCGTCTTAAAAAGAATATCCAGTTCAATGAGACTTTTCCTAATAGATTTAGCACTACAAACTATACAGATGTTTCGCATCTTAAATATTAAAGAAGAAGTTGCTAACCAGATAGAACTATCCTAAGTAGAGACCACAAAGATATTGTGCTCGAAGCACAATGGATGATATATATTTCATAACACATTTTCGTTAGGTTAGTACCGACTGAACTAGTTCCCTTTACAAGAAACATTTTTATTTGCCTTGAATATGACTTTTCTCATCTTTCTATCGTAATTTTCACTGACGGAAAAACACAAAATATGTTTATCGATAGTCGAAAATTGACAAGAAATAAAAGTATATTTGAATACCCTTCATTCATTAAGAGTAAGAGTTGAGTAGTCATCAATAAGTCATTCTTCAGAAACTTCGAATAGAATAGATACTCTTTAAAAAAAACTATTTTAATATTTTTAATTTAGAATGGATTAGCAACTAAATCAATGGCAACAAGCAATCGACACTATGATAAATAACTTTCAAGTGTCGATATGACTTTTAATTCTTTAAAAAATAAAATATTTTCTATTTCACATTTGTACTTTTTATGGACGTATTAAACTCAAGAGCAAGACTCATTTTTACAGGCAAGAATCTAGTACAAAAAGGACGACAAAAGAATCTTGACTAATAAGCAAGAAAAACAAGGATCTCAAAAGAATGATGTCAACATCATCGACTAATGTATGTTAGGACGTTGCAAATAGCTTTCTTCGGTAAAAACCTTTAATAGTATGGGAGGATGCATCATGAGTGTTCGCCTATTGATACCATGGAAGCGACGTCTTTATATATAATACTATTTGTCTACATTCTTTTGTTATCTTATTGAAATACTTCATGATATGGATTATTCATAGTTTTTCTTGTGTACAAAGTATGCTATATTTACAGTTCTATTTGTAGTATACTCATAACGATAGTATAATTGACTTTTTGATTCTTGAACGAAAAAACCAGAAATTTCATAATTTAATTAATATTAAACGAAAAAACGAGATGATTTCATTGGTATATAATCATTTTGTATATTTTCAAGATGAATATAAAATTCTGATCAGAACGATATCACAAAAATGTCTTACAATTCTGAAGTTGTGATGAGGTGTGGGTGTGGATGGGTCTGCTTGATAAAGTCAATCTTATACCCAGATGCACCTTCGGATCTTTGAGATAGGTCGGCAAAAGTCATGCGGGAAAACTGTACGAAACTCTTCAGAAGGACTACAAGTGTACACGAATAGCTTGAAGAAGTTTGTTCGGGAATTAACTATTCTTGAATATATAGAATGGGATAAATTTTTCGATATATATTTTAAAAGTTTAACAGAAAAATATTTGAATGATACTGTATAAATTTAAAAAATTCAATGTTATAAAATTCTGCAAAAACATTCTAAGCCGTAGTGAATGAATCTACGATTTGGTGACTATTGCATATTGTTGTATGTCGTTTACATGTGCAATATTATTTTAAATCAAATTTAAACGATAAGTGTTGTTTTTAGAATAAAATAAAATCCATTTTCTATATCACAAGTTATAGGAATGAAAAGATATACGATTAACAAAAACAAATGAAAATTCATATTGTTCTATCAATGGTACTCAGAACATGGATGATGATGCGGGATATGTGATTTGAGGTCAAAAATATCTTCAATTAAAATACACTCTTATTAGTAGTACTCTTTTGATTTTTCTATCTTTGGCAAATGTCTTTAGAATAGATTATTTGTAGAATTGCAAATTAATTCAGAATTACTCTGATTCTATAACCAGAAACACACATAGCGCTACAAAACGAAACAACTATTCTTTATAGATTGAATTCTTTCTGACACGATACCATAGATGCATTATATGATTCTTCAAGTTTATCTTTATTTTTATTGTCAATGTTTAACTTAATCAGAGAATAGAGCTATTAATGTTTGTGTTAACTAAAAAATGACATAATCGATTAATGTCTTTGGTTAAAACAGTTTGAGTGAATTGAGTATAATACTGCCAACATGTGATGTTACGGCTGCATGTGAATTATTTCGATTTTCAATTATGTGTTTGACGAATTTTAGTGGATTCGAATTGAATTGCACTTGATTCATTCGTAAATGTTGACGACATTTTGGTCTGCTCACGAAGCCATCAACAGCAATCCAACCTTTTTCGAAGGCCGTTTCTTCAGTTTGAGTTCGAGGTTTTGGACATAAACCTAAGCATTGACAAAAAGCTGTTTGCTCATTAATAGTTTCAAAATAAAGGGTGCCATTAAAGACAAATAACTGAACCAACCACTCTAATGGCATGCAGTAAATATTGGTGTTGTTATAAGGTGGAATGGATGGAGGAATAGTTAGTGTAGGAGTATTGAAAAAGATTGATTGGATTCGTTTAATACGAGGTAATAATAAGCGCAATGTGGTAACCGATGATTTATTGGATTTCAAATGGTGAATCAACCAATTAGCCTCATAAGCACTGATAAATATAATATGTTGATTTCGATAGACAACGGCCCATCGTGGAGAACGCAAAAAAGGATTTAGTGATTCTCCTTTAGTCAGAATTACTCGCTGAAATTCAGTAGAAACCCACAAATTTTGTCGCCAACTATTTGGTTGACAGTCATTATAGAATGTGGTATCAGTAAAAGCAAATGTAAGAGGTTGAAATACCAAAGGAAATTGAGATAAATTCATTTTCTTACTATTTATATCACATAACCTCTTAATTTCCTCATACAGTGTGGGTTCACATGGTTCGACTGGTGGTGGACGTGCTAATTGTCTTTCTTCTTCTAGTTCTTGTTCTAATTCTCGTTGTTGTTCTTCATCCAATAATTGTGATAAACGTTGTTTCTGTCCACCATAATCCTGTAATCGTTTTAATACTGGATCGCAAATTTCTGTCGATAAATGATAATTAGTTTGTTGACATCGAGCAGAATGAATCTCGGATACTGTTTGCAATACTTTACAAGCACCATACATATGTATTAATTCAATAATTTCCGGTTCCAAACATTCTTTCGCCAACTCTTCCATCATGGCATCGGAAAACAATTGTTCATAATCATCCCACTGAATCTCTCGAAATGCCGCAACTTTCCGCTGAAAACTTAAACTTTGTGCAGCCCAATGATGTAATCCATCCCACGTCGATTGTATGGTATTTTCATATACCCAACGAAGAATATCAATCAAATTAATGAAATCATCAGTATTTTTGTCTTGATTTTTAAGAGACCGATCTCTTTTTAATCTTATAATCTGTTGATGAACTTCATATGAACTCCAAAATGTTAATGAATGTCCATCTCCTAATTTCCTCATTCTCATACATGCTTGAACAAAACGATCTTTTGTTAAACCATTTCCTAATGTGACTGCAGCTCGAAATCCTTTTGGAAATTTAAAATCAGTTCCACGGGTATGAATTTCATCTAAATAAAATACACAACGATCTAATCGTTCACTTGCAGGAGATGTTTCAAACCGATGATGATGTAATTGACGATCACAGACAACAATTGAATCTGAATCAAAATAAACTGTATAATCAATCATCTTTTTATCGGATAGATCCAACCATTTAATAGCAATATCTCGATTGGTTCCATCAATGAATAATGCTCCAACATCTAAAATCACATTAATTCTTTCTTTATAACTTACGATTAGATTTAGAATTTCATTTGAAGAAGCATTGACTGGGAAATATTGATAACTTTTATTTTCAGGTTGTAATAAATTGTTAACAACGATTGCATCAGTTTTTTCAAGTTCAGGTAAATCATACTGACGAATATGAACAGGAAGAAGCAATTGAGTATCATTAGTTCCACTAAATCCAGTGATAATCTTTGATCGTGCAGATGACGACAAGTCCCAAGCAGATGCAACTAGTTTATGTGGGAATTGTTTTGCTTCTCGAGGAAATACAAAATGATTTAGGAAATAATTGATCACTAATATATTGTATTGTAGAGTAGGAAAAAGATAACACGTTCTTTGTTGATAATCTTTTATATTAACTCCTTTCCATTGTTTAATATTAGTTGGTATATCATCTTCTTTTCCATATAAAATCCATTCATCATAAATTGATGCAGGATCCGTTTCTTCTTCACTCAAACGATTTAAACATTGAGTTAATTGTTCATTATTTAAACCAGAATAATAATAAGAAAGATGTGTTAACACTAAGGCAACATCAGGATGACCAAATTCGGTTTTATCAGCTACTACATCCTTCGCACGAAATGGCACAGCCATTAAGCGATTAAAAGACAAATTTGAATTGACACCATAATTAACTCGATGTCGCTTCTTTAGAGCAACTAAAAGAACTTCTGAACATAGTAAACCTCGAATAATGAGAAACAGTTGAATATCACTAGGAGGAAATTTATCAATTAGACGGTCAGCTGATGAATTTGTTTCTAAAATGAAGGATACGATGATCTTTTTATCTTCATTACGGTAATTCCTTGTATTGATCCAATCGTTAGCGATTTTTTGACATAATGATAGAAATGGATGATGTGATTGCAAACGCAATTGTGGAAAAGCACTTTTTCGTTCAGTTGGTTTATAACAAACTTCTTCACTAAAACGTTTTGCGATCTCTTCGGCATGTTTTTTGACCAACTCAAGTATTAATTGAATAGTTTTCCATCGTTCGGCACCTGCATCAACTTGTGTTTGACCACCCACAGTATAAATCAATTGATACTTAACATGTAAAATTTCATCCGATTCATCTAATACATCACGAGCATATGTCTTTAACCATCGTTGAATTTTCAGCATGGAACGACCGATATCAAATTCATTCCGTCGACATTTATCTATAGTAAGTAAATCAAATGAGAGAATATCTTCAGGTGAAGTTAATATCACATCGCAATTCTTTAATCCTTGTTGTAGACGATTGTCAACTTGTTGTATTTGTTGATAGTTAAAATTCATATCACGACGACATGTAAATGAAAAAATACGTCGATTCAGTAAACCACCTAGTTTATATTTTAACGATTGATAATTTGTTGGAAATAATGATTTAAGGACTATGATACGAACTAAACTTGAATTGGATGATGATAGGCTAAGAGCTAACATTGGCAAAATAACTGACGTTTTTCCTTCACCCATATTCATTTGCATTACTATACTTTTTACTGTATTATCATTTATTATCTCATTGGGATACATCATATGACGTGCCACTCTAATTTGTATTTCTCGAATAGTCATATTCATTTCTAGTTCCAAGATTAACCATGGAACATGCTCTGATGGTATCCAATTGATATGAGGTATATTTGATATTTCTTTTTTGAAATCTTCACGTTTGTCATGAATAGCAAAATGTAAAGCTCTCTCTAGCTGTTGTTCTAATGTCCAATTGACAAGAATGCCACCTAGTAATGTATGTTGATCAGTTGTCCAATTAAAATTTGCTATTTTGTGTTGAAAGAGAGAGATAAGAGTTGGTGGTGTGATTCGTAAAACTAGACCTGTTTCGAATAATTGTTCATTAGATAATGTGATAGATTTGGTTAATTCATTCCAGCTTTTTGAAGATTCGTTTCGAAGAGCATTGAGAACTCCAGTGATCTTTTCAATTGAAGGATTTTCTCTTAAAGTTTGTTTATCTAAGAGAAGTTTTTTCCAACTTTGAAACAATTGATTTTTGAAATAATTGGCAATTTCACTAACTGGATTATCTTCATTGATAGCAGACGTAAAAATGTCTTGTGGAAATGTATTTTTGTCATCAATAGTTTTTTGAGATACAGATGAGTTGTTGAAATTATCCGTATTAGAATAATGGAATTTTTGCTGTGCACTTGATAACAATTCTTGATCGATTGGTGTGTTCACCAGCCTAAGTTGTATTGCATAATGATCTTTACTTAATTCAACTGTAAATTGTTGAGGATAATATAATACTTTGATATTAAACTGTTGTATAGGAACAGCAAAGATGCGATATTGCACGAGTTCTAAGAAAGTGCGAAGTTTTCTATTGTTTTGCCAGTTTGTTAATAATTGGTTGATTCGAGACACCTCGTTAGAATTCAGCAGTTTATTACTGTCCTCATAACTTGAGTCTCTCGAAAAACAATTCTGAATTTCTGCTACAGCTCTTCTCTGTTCACCTGAATTATAATAACTTGATATATTTAAACGTTCCGTAATGAATGTAATTTCTTCGATATTGGAATATCTAATGAATCGAGGAAAATCAACAGATGTTGATAATATATCAGGCATTTGTAATGCTGTTTTGAGCATCTGCAAGTAGAAAGGTTTAGTTTCACATTTGTCGGAAATATAATGAAGAAAGTCTAGTAAGACTTCAAAACTTTGAATATCGTCAGTGGCTGTTCCTAATGCTTCTCTTTTGAGACGATCAGTCAATTTCAATAAGCCAATCCAAACATTTTTCAGTCTATTATCATCATTCAACCATTGAGATAAGGGTAACCAATTTTGCTTTGAACAATCTATAAGGTTTACTTCTCCATCCTTGTATAAATCATCTATCAGACGAACAGTATTGTAATTCGTGACACGTGGACAATGCTCTAAAGATGATTGATATGGTTCTGAATGATAATGGATGTCCGTTTCTATCTCTGCAGGTAACCTTGCTAAGGGATTGTATGAATCTCGATAATCCCAATAGAGTTTCTTCAATAATGATTCATTGGTTGTTTTTTCATCAAATATTTTTGGTATTTCATCGAATTTAGATGAGGAATGCATAAAATTCAATCGCTGACTGGTCTCAATTAATCTTTTTGCTAACAAATAGTAACCAAAATGTTGTATGGAATAAGGCATACCTTCAATGTTCCAATCAATTCTTTCCATAGAAGTGATATGTTTCGGATAATAATCAACGTTGGGTGAGATGCCACCAATTTGACCAAGAATATTTAAAGAAAGCCCATCGAAAGGTTGATCAGACCAACAGCCAGCTGAGTTCAATAACTGGAAGGCACGTTCCATTCCTGTCATTTCAGTATATTCATCTGGTAAGGGATGCGAAGTCATGGCATGTAATAATGCTAAATAAAGCCATCCAGTGGGACTATCAGTCGATTGAAGAATTTTTAATCGATCATTTATAATAAACACAAAATATTGATGGAGAAATGGATTCGTCGATATTCGTTGTATAGTAACGGTTTGATGATTAACGGAAGTTTCTGCACTATGAACCTCCCCAAAAGGTACGATTAATTTTCGATATGGATAATTTTCTAACCTTTGATTATTGACGGGTGATGGTGATAAGAGAAGACCAGATTGCAAACCAGTTAAAGTCCCCACCCATTGATTTTCTTCAACACACATGTCAGAATATTCACGAGACGTGATGATGTTGCTGCTAGCATCGTATTTGAATGCAATTCCTAAACGTGATAAATGAATATGAATGATGCTGTTACTCTTCGAAGTACTATCTTTCATCATATAGACATAAGGTTTATTGTCGAGACGAATAAAATAATGGTTGAACAAACTTTGAAAAAATGTTGATGATTGATTCACTAAAATTTGTTTATTAGTTGTTTCGGTACAGGTTACGCGCCCTGTGTTCATTGATAGTATGTAGGGTTTGTTATCTAAAAAATCGGCTTCTTTGAAACGAATAGGTCGAAATTCAAGTATCTGGTCTTTTGCATTCCACCAATGACTGTAATTGGAGACAAACATATCTGGTAATTCAGTTATGAAACAACCATGAGGAATCAATTGAAATGCAAAACCATTGTCTACTTGTATGTGTCGTTCAGTAATTATTAAATGTTTGGTTTGATCATTAAAATGAAATTCATATTGAACTCTTCCATTACCGTGATATGAATGCTTGGTAATATAAGTATTAGGTGCTTCAGCCGCTTGAACTTCAAAAATATGATAACCAAATACACGTAAAAATAATTCATTGGAAGTGATTGTTTCAGGTAAAAAACCTATAGTCATGCCATCAACTAAAAACTTTCCTCTGATACAGTCAATTGATATATATCTCGATCCATATTGACAATCGTACCAACCATCATATGAATCTGTCTTTCGTTTCTTCCATTGTCCATTCATATAGCCATTTCGCTTGATAACTGCCCAGTAGGTTGCAGAAAATTCATTTAAACTTTGACAGGACGTATTTTTAAGAAATTCAGCAAGAGTTGGCTGTACCACTACTAAGACATGCTCACTAAATCTCATCATATTTCTCATGAATGTGCTCATATTAGATTGATTCTTGTTTAAAATAATATTATCATGAACAGTCGTTGCTGCTTGCAGTAAGGATATAACATGTTCATCGGATGATAATAAACAATTGATTCGATCTTGGTGAGTTGAAAATGTTAATAGACAGGAAATACCAATATTCACCATTTTAAGACGAAGTTTTTCTACTTCATTAAACACTGATGGAGATATAGTTTGAATACATTTTGAAATAAGATCAATCCATTTTTCACCAGTTTTACGACATTTTATTGCCAGATTAGCAACTTTATCTTTTCTAGTTGTATTACAAATTGTTAATATTCTCATAGTAATCATCGTAATTACTACTAATACCAATTCATTCTGCCAATTTAATTCACAATCATTTAAATGATGATCTAATCTTGAGAGGAATTCGTCCACAAAATGATCTTCTAACAACTGCTGATGTGATTCTGGACACCACGAATTGGATGATATATCAGAATCTGCTATCAATGGTCCATATTGTAAAATGGAATGTATAATTAATATTGCTACACTTTCTTCAGCAATGGACAAGGAGTCCATTTCAAAAATCGTTAAGAGATTCCACCATTGTAAACGATGACCCGATCGAAATGAACCAAATTCAACAAACTGCGTTGGTTTTAATTTTGCTGAACAATCAGACAATCTAGCAATGACGTGATTTTGTAAAAATTGTGTAGTATTTAGAGTAAATTGTAATGGTTTGTAATCTGGATGATCAAGTTGAGGAGTTAATATACGCCGTTCGTCCTCAAATTCAATTGGTTTGGTTGGCGAGATTTGCACTTGCAAACTATTTTCGAATAAGAAGTCTTTCACAGGTGCAGATGAAATTGACGGTGGATATGAATAATGAGTTTGTGTGACAGATTTAGTAGAAGATACTAGTTTCACTTTGCAGTTATTTGAGCCAGTATAAAATGGTCGTAGCTTGTTGTCATGAGGCGGCACCGTTAACCATTCATACATATTATGCTGAGGATGTGGATAAGGACGATTCGTAAATTGCCAAAGAATATCTCTATAACATCTTATTTCAATAGGCATCTGTAATTCAAAAATAACAGCCAATGCACTCTCGTGTGTAGATGGTATGGGACATTCGAATACTTTCACTTGAATGTTGTTTGCTTCTTCACGGATCTGACATTTGTGGCATGTGATCCGACGCCCATATTTATAATCACAGCTACAAGATAAACTACTTACTGAATTTATAAGTTGTGTATATCTTTTTTTGGCATTGTTTACTTCCCATATTTTCTGTTGTTTATCTTGTTCAGCTTGAGCTCGGATTTTTCGTATACTTGTGTTCATCTCCGGTATTAGATCGGCAAAAGATACACCAAATGCACTAGAATGCTCAATGTTTGATAAAAGATCAGGATATTGTTTGGTACTGAATGCTTTAAAATAATGATAGAGGCTACGTGCCCTAATCATATCTTCACGATGCGGTATGACCAGAAGTTCGAACAAATCAATAAGATTGGGGATACGAATTGAATGTAGTTCTAATCGTTTGAATCTTGGATCATTACATAACTTTTTATGTATCGAACGAATAATTGTTAATGACGTCACAATAAATCGACTGTAACCAACTGGATCTGTCGGACCGTTTTTTGACCAGTAATGACATAATGCTGCATTCTGATATTCTTCATAAAAACCTAATAAAATTTCGAAACAATTTTTTCCATTTATATATGGCGACGGACGATTTATCCATTGCTCTAAACGTAATTCAACCCAAATTTCCAAATAAGTTAAAGCTATTCCAATTGTATAGTTTCTTTGTTTTGTTAATACATCATAAGACGGTATATAGTCTGCTTGATTAACATTCGTTGAATCATCACAGGTATTGATACCTGAAAAATGTTTCAATGTTTCACTTGAATTCTGATTATTCAGATATGCTTTTAAGTGTAAACAAAAATGCTGATAAATTTCAGGACGATCCAGTTCGATGTTGGTCATTGATATAATGTGATTCTTTTTTTCACTCATTTGCATAGATTTATACCAATCTGATTTTGGAAAAATTCGATCAATATTTGTTTTTATTACTTGTTTCATAAATTGTATCCATTCTTTTACATTATTTGCATTGATAGGAAACGACAAACCTTCAAATTTATTCAATCGACGTACAATTTTTCGAATGCAATGAACTAATAAATCGGTCGAACATGATTTTGAGGAAATAACATATGTAAGAAAATGAGTGATCAATAATTTATAAACAATAGTACCATCATATTCCAAACGCTTGGTTAAAATGGTATGCAAAACTACTTTGATTGTCATCCATAATCCAGATCGTCGAAAAGGTAATAATGCATTGTTCCATCGAATGTGGTCACGATGTTTTTTCTTGAATTGATAGGACCTATCGGAATTATTTTCGATGTTTATCCCTTGAAACTGTTGAATCCACCACTGACATACGTAATGTGATTCCGGTACCTCACGTATTTCAGAGACTTCGCGAGAAGCTTTATGAGATTTGGAATATTCAATGGTATTAGTCATAAAATCCATTAACAATTCACAATGACCTTTCGAACTTAATTGAGATCGATCATTCAACCGATATGTTGTTACAGGAAAACAGGAAAGATGAGGTACTACAGATGAAGTTATTTCTGCAGATGGTAATAGGACCTGCCATGATGAAATTAATGGTTGATTGGCATTATTTTCATCTATTTCAATTAAAATTGCAGCATTTTGCGCATGAAAATAGAGAGGAAGAAAATGTCCCAATGGTAGTTGCTTAATGGCAGCTTGTAAATCAGGTACTGAAGTCGTTTGATGATTTTGTAAGGTAGACCAAAGTTGTATGCAATCAGTCAATGTGCGAAAGATTGGTAATATATTGTTTGTCTGAGTTGATGCAAACGAAACCAAATACTCCTTCATACATTCCAATAGCAGATATTCATTTTGATGATCACATTGACTTAAAAAATCATCATCAGCAGAAGATGGGAGATCATGTGGAAGAAACAAGTGGTTTAAAATTGATTCATCCATTTCTTCTTAATCGCAAAGATTGCTGTTACTAGATAGAATATCTATTGATTGTCTAGAAAAATAAAAATACCAAAAAATGTACAGAAAAAAATGCAAAGAAGTTAAGAAGAAGAAATATAGAATTAAAATATACACCTAATGAGAAAATGTTGAGGGTTTGGGTGTGAGTATGTGGACGAAGGAGTGATGTCATAATCCCAATACACCGGGTATTCTACTACAAACACGTCGCTTACACAGTTATCCCGCTAGGGTATCGTGCAACCACCTCGTTACCCAAATAAAGTATAAGTAAAAAGCTGAGGAATATGAGTTGATTTGGTGTAACCACCTCGTTACCC